AAGAAGAAGAAGAAGAAGAAGAAGAAGAAGAAGAAGAAGAAGAAGAAACAGAGATTTCTTTTCCTACTAATCGGCCTGAACCATACTGAGTTTCAGAGACATTCCATTGTGTTCTAGCATAGCCACATTCAATGGCCGTTACCTGCTCAGTGTCAGAGCTCTGTCTGTGTGAGGTCTTAATTTGGTACGTATTTCCTACTGCATCACATCCTACCTTGATCCTACCCCTGCTTCTGAGCCACACCCTGCATGCTCTCCCACCCAAGGATTTGCCAGTTTCATCACTTCTATGACAAATGCTATTTTCCCCTTTCTTTTAGAAAACCATGAACTAAAGACAATTAATAAGATATTTCCTAAAAAGGTTTTGCTGTAGCACTAGCTTTGGGCAAATACCTAGACAGAGAACTGTCTGTGATGAAGGTCCTTACTTTGAGACATCAGAAAGTCTGTGAAGCCTTTGGGAGATGGACCAAGCACTCAGTGGCTGCTTCTCAGAGAAGCAACTAAGGAGAAAAAGAAGACAAGCATAATAGGAACAGAGTGTAGGGGGATGGAGGCTGGAAGACAGAGAGGTCATTAGGAGAGTTGCCTTGAATGTTTGACAAGAATACTTTGCAGAGGTAGGCATGGTGATACATCCCTTTAATCCCAGCAAATGGGAGGCAGAGGTAGGAAGGTCTCTGTGAGTTTTAGGCCAGCCTGGTCTTAATAGATTATAGAGAGGGAGGGAGGAAGGGAAGGAGGGAGAGAGAAAAAGAAAGAGAGAGAGAGAAAAAAAGAAAGAGAGAGAGAGAGAGCCCCTGTACCAAAAATAATGTTCAAGAGTTGGCTTTGGTAGCATTATTCAATAGTTAACAGAACATTAAATGTTGGCCCCATTGGTTTATGGAACAGAGACCCAGATGATCCCAAACTCAGCTACTTTTGTGGCTCCCGTCTCCAGTTCTTTTAATCCTAGCTAAGACAACAGCCTTGGACACTCTCTTCCGGTCGTAAGCCAGGCCGAGGGCAGCCATGCAGTCAATGAAGAACGTGGTGAAGTTGATGTGCCAGCGGTACTCACTGACAGAGTAGTCGTAGGGGAAGACGTGATGGTAGTTGTGGAAACCCTCGCCTGCAACAGAAGCAAGGAGAGCATTCAGGGGGCTCAGTGATTCCTGCTTCCCTTTTGTACACCTCTTAGCTGTTGTGTACCTCAAACCTTGAAGAATCTCGCTGTTGGGGTGAATAGATGAACCCCCAGTCTTGTATTCTAAAGCAAATAGATGCCCTCAGAGGCATCTCAGGAAACCAGTTGGCAGGTTTTGCCCACACATGCGTGTCTGAGAGTCTTTATCAGAGGAAGTTTGTATCATAAGAGGATGGGAGAAAAACTGGATCTGTGGGAATATACTTTACGATGGAAAGAGGGTTCCAAGCCCCACAAGGTCTGTGCCTAGATGCCTGCAGTCAGAGCAGGGCAGAGGATGGGGGTCAGAACTGTAGCCACTTTTCTTTTCTTTTTTTTTTTTTTTTTTTGTTTTTTCGAGACAGGGTTTCTCTGTGTGTAGTCCTGGCTGTCCTGGAACTCACTCTGTAGACCAGGCTAGCCTCGAACTCTCGAACTCAGAGATCCGCCTGCCTCTGCCTCCCAAGTGCTGGGATTAAAGGCGTGCGCCACCACCGCCCGGCTTGTAGCCACTTTTCTTAGAAGGAGTAAGCCACACTGTCCTCCATGAACTGCTGTTGTCTGTAAAGTGGAGGTTTCAGCGGGGTACACAGCAACCACCATTTTTTGTTGTTTTTTTGAGACAAAGATTCTCTGTGTCCTGCCTGTCCTAGAACTTGCTCTGTAGACCAGGCTGTCCTCAAACTCCCTCCACCTACCTCTCTGCCTTCCTGCCTCCCAAGTGCTGGAATTAAAGGCATACACCGCTATACATGGTGCAGCAACCAAATTTTACAGGAAGTAGTCCAGGCCAGTGACAGGCATTTCCTTAGCCAATCCTGGCTCACTAGAGACTGTTCTGGCTGCTAATTCTCTGAACTTTGACCTTGGGGTGAGGGAGGCACTAAGAAAATAGAACTCTGAAAGTACTCAGAGTCTAACACTTGAGATTCTGAGACTCCCAGGATGGCCATCTTGCAGGATAAGGAACAGAAGTCTTCATTTTGCTTCTCTCTATGATCAGTTTGCTGTTTTTCTGTTGGCCTTGTGCCCCTTCCTCCTGAACTGATTTCAACAATACCGATCCTTTCCAGGTTGAAGTAAAGACAGTGAACAAGAAAAATCAGTGAACCCTGAAGATAAAAACATCCCTAGAGGAAATCAGAAGAGCGGAAAGAATATTAAGAGCCAAAGAAAGGGGGAGGTGGGAGTGCATTATGTAATGCCGACGTTGGGACACGGCATGGCTGTGGCGATCTTGAAATCTCAGCAGTTGTCATTAAATGCACAAGATCTGTACTAGACTGAGCTGATCAGCACCAGCCATGGCAAGAAGGAAGAGCTCGTGGGGTGCCACCCATCCTTGAGGATTTATACACAGTGAATGGTTGATAGAGGAGAGATGGACACCATCAGGAACCACAGCGCTGACCAGTGTCCATGCTTCTGAGAACCAACTTTCAGCCTGTGCTCCTGCGAGCCATCCCAGTAAAAGTCCCCAGGTCTCAGACACACAGAAAGATAGGAAAGGAGGGCTGGTTGTCAAGAAGAGGGGGAATCATCAGGTGTGAGAGGTGGCAAGAGATAGGGCAAAGGGGTAAGAATGATTGCAATCACACACATTCGTGAAAATGTCGCCCGTGATTCTATGTAATTAGTATATACTAATTAAAACATTGTTAAATTAAAAAAGTGTGCCCAAGTTCTGGAGAGATGCTCATCAGTCAGGAACACTAACTGCTCTTTCAGAGGGCCTGGCTACAGTTCTTGTCATTCATGTGGTCACTGAAAACCATCAGGAACTCCAGTTCCAGGGGATCCAACACCTGCTTCTAGATTCTACAGGCATCCATGCACACAATATACACATATGCGCACAAAACACTCACGCACATAAAAATAAATAAATAAGTCTTTTAAAAACTATCTCTCACCAGGCAGTGGTGGCGCACGCCTTTAATCCGAGCACTTAGGAGGCAGAGGCTGGTGGATTTCTGAGTTCAAGGCCAGCCTGGTCTTCAAAGTGAGTTCCAGGACAGCCAGGGCTACACAGAGAAACCCTGTCTCGAAAAACAAAACAAAACAAAAAAATCTCCTCTGGAGTGGGTCCCCCCCCCCCCGAGCACCCTCATAGAAACAGGGAGAAGGATGGAATAAAGGGGTTCTGGAGGGGAAACCAGGAAAGGAGATAAAATTTGAAATGTAAATAAACAAAATATCCAATAAAAAAAGAAAAGAAAAATATCTCTCAAAGCAGGACATGGCAACACACGCCTTTAATCGCAGCATTCAGGAGGCAGAGGCAGATGGGTCTCTGTTAAGTTTGAAGCCAACTGGGTCTATACAGGGAGTCTGAGGCAAACCAGACCTACCATGTGAGATCCTAGTGAGATCCTTGCTAAAAAAAAAAAAAAACATGAAAATTCCCCCCAGAGATAATGGACATTCTACAGAAAACAAGAACAGAGAAGGAATTCCTTCTAACCAAATGACTCCTAGGAAGACTTCTCAAGGGATATACTCCCTCTGAACTCTGGGTTGTGTGCTGTGACTAAGGGCACTGAATCAAGCCTGCTAACTTCCACACATGCCTCCACAGGGAGGCTCTGAGTAAGACCTAAGTAGGCCTCACTGGCTCTTGTCTGACGTTTAAAACAGAGTCCTCTCTATCTCTGTGTCTCTGTGTCTCTGTGTCTCTGTGTCTCTCTGTCTCTCTGTCTCTGTCACACACACACACAAAACAGGGGAGGAGGAGAGAGAGAGAGGAGAGAAAAGGGAGATTCAATTGCATGGGTAGCAGCTAGGGACAGGAAGAGATGGCCCAGGAAAGCTATGGAGAATGATCATCTTAGTCAAAGAACATGAGCACATGACTATGAGACAGGTAATTAAATGAAACAAAACCTCTGGCAGTCAAGGATGAAGTGACAGGGCTAGAAGAACAGCTACAGGGCGAATAACACTGGCGACAAAGCCAAAGGCTGTCCAAAGGCTGGCAGCCACTTCGAGCTTAAGGGCTCTGGAATCGAGGAAACCCCAGAGTCTGTACAGACTCTGCTTACTGGTTCAGGACACACTTCTGCCTATGTTACTCCACTTCTATGAAAATCTCTGAATTTTATAGCATAGGTGGTGGAGTTTGGGTTTTTTTTTGTTGTTCATTTGTTTGTCTGTTTTGGGTTTTTTTTTTTCAAACACAGTCAAATTAAGAGTATGTGTAATGGTGGAAAGTACCTAAAAGATGGAGAAAGATCCAGGAAACTCTGGTGGTGTGGCACAGTTGAGGTTTACTGAACTAAGTAATAGTTTATTTTTTCCTACTATGCAGCAGGCATACATATATAAAGCACTGTGCTTTACTGGCCTTTCCATCGAAATTACTATTCTATTCTGCATCTTCTGCCCCTAGTAAGACGCACGCTAACTCAGTTGCAACTGGGAAAGGAAAATTTAAAAGGACCCAGTCACATTAAAGTCAACAGATCAGCCCTCATCTTAGAGTAGAAACCTATGATCCAAAGCAATCGTAAAAGCAGACTCTAATCTGGTCTCTCTGACTTAGCCTTAATGCCCTAATCAGCAGCCTACCTCATGTTGTCTTGATGTGAGCTGAGAACTTACCAAAAGATGCCATTGAAACCAGGGGATTCTCTCGGGCGCCAATGCCCCTGTCGTAGGGCCGGTTCCCGTAGAGGTGAGCAGCACTGTTCACCAGCCAGGTAAAATTCAGAAGTATAGCATACCGCAGGAAAGTAGTGACACATAAGCTGTGTAGAAAAGGTTCACCCCAGAAGTACCAGGGTACCAGTGTGTGCAGGACGATGAAGATGAGTGTGACAGCTAGCTTGTAGTACCTATGCGGAGAGATCACACACTGAGTCTGTGTAGAGAGACCGCAGGCAAACTTGAGAGGGTCATGCTCACTGGGGTGAGCTGCCTGTTCTCCTGCACTATGAATATGGGAGGGGTATAAGTTATCTCACTCTTACACACACATACACACACACACACATACACACACACATGTGAGTGCTTGCTGCATGTATGTATGTGTATCACATGTGTGCACATATCCAAAATGTTCAGAAGGAAGCACTGGATTGTCTGGAACTGGATTTACAAGTTGTAAACCACTGTGTGGGTACTGGGAATCGAACCTAGGACCTCTGGAAGAGCAACCAGTGCTCTTAACCATTTAGCCATCTCCCTGAGTCTTTATCTCAAATGTTAGATAAGGAATACTGCTGGAATGTGGGTTATAATGTGTGTCTAGGACTAGAAGCCCACTGTTTCTTCTCACAAAGTGTAAGGCCATGTTGGCCAAACAGGTCAGGCTCAAAGTACAAACTCATCTGCGAACTTCAGCTGTCTGGGCTCCTGTTCAGCTGCCTTAAGGTCCTTTCTTGAGTCCACAGAATGTGTGACGTGTTCATTTCCTGCTACTATCTGCTGGATCTCTGCTCTGCTTTCCAGGAGACATACTGAGTGCCTGCCCCCTAGACTATTTGGTGGACCGAGGACAGGGACCAGGGTGCATATTTTACATACCAAAGCAGACCTGGCCACCAGATTCTCCCAGCATCTCTCAGTCCCTACCTGGTATACCCTGCCCCCAACCCTGAACTTTGCAGCCCAGGGGCTGGGGCGACCTTCCCCAGAAGATCTTCCCTATATAATCCATACATGTTGCCCTTTCTCTCCCTCTCCCTCTCTCTCCCTTCCTTCCTTCCTACCTCCTTCCTTCCCCCATCTCTCCCTCTTCTTCTCTCCTCTCTCTGTGTGCCCTTTCTCTCTTTCTTTCCCCTCCAAACATGGCAACTCCCCTGGCCTCAGTCCTTGGGGCCAGTGAACTCACCCGCCGAAAGCAGCTTCCCAATTAACCTGCCTTTAATATAATCTAACCTGGCTTCAATTGGCTGACTTCAGTGGCAGCGGAGAAATGACCTATCACTGACCACCTCCAGTTCTCAGTCCCTTTGGAGGCTTTACTCAGTCTTCACTCCCAGGCCATTGACATTGCAAGGGATTTGATCGATATCTGTCAAACAGTCTGTTATTCAACTTGTACTGACGTTATCTGCATCCAGCTCCTTCCCTTTCCACTCTTACCTTTGCATCCCTGGCCTGGGTCTCCCATATCTAATGTTTCCCTGAACTTCACCTGCCAATCAGAGGCTCCTTTCACCTGCATTGGGGCAGCCTCTCTGAAACATATCCCAGCCCCATGATGCCGAGGGATCTCCTTCAAGGAGAAAACTTTAGCTAGTCTCAAGTACTGTATTTGTGTTGTCTCTGTGCTCTCTCCCTCTCTCCCTCTCCCTCTCTCTCTCTCTCTCTCTCTCTCTCTCACACACACACACACACACACACACACACACACGTCAGAATCACTATTGTTTCGCAGGCTGCTTTGATCAACAGCTCTTCCCAGCCGTCTTGGTCTGTGGGAACCTTTCACAGTGCAGACAGTGTGCTGCTTTGCTTCTGGTTATTTGCACACCTGCCTAGGAATACAAGCTTTTCCCCATTGCTTCTCTTACTGCATCCATGACTATTCTAGGTCAGTGAACACTTGTTTCATTTATGGAAATACCTCAGAAAGGAACACAGCAATAATCTGTGCTTGAGGGCCTATGAGACATCAGAGAACTGTGTTTTAAAACAACTGTGAGCATGCAAACAGAGTAAAAGCCTTCAGCTCTTATTTAATGTGTTCTATTAAAAAAGTAGGGTCCCTAAATCCCAGGTGCCCTGGGTTCCACCCACAGCCCCCACTCACCTCCTCTGGAACATCACCAGCTTCTCAGCTTTTAGGTCAGACATGTCCAGTTTTCCTCCCTTCTCTTTGACAGCCGGGTGTTTGCGCACAAGCAGCCAACCCACATGAGAGAAGAAAAAGCCCCGGCGGGAATTGTGAGGGTCAGCGTGTGTTTCTGAGAACTTGTGGTGGGCGCGGTGGTCTCGGGCCCATTCATACACGTCATTCTGGAAGCACAGGGAAGAGGAACCCAGTGTTGAGAAGAGATGCCCTCCAAGGAGAATGCAAGGTCCTAGATGTCTGCAAGGGTTTCAGACTCTCAGCCCAACTCACAAAAAAAAAAAAAAAAAAAATCCCTCAGGACTCTGACCAAAGGAGTCCTTGTGGAGCACTCTTTTCTGCACACTTGCCCCTGAGGCAAATGTCAGAAAGCAACCTACAGTCCTGGCCCAGGAATCACACTGCTTCTTCCTTTGTTGTGTGATGGGGAGATGGCACATGGAGCAGAAGGGGACAATGAGATCCACACACCGAGAGGAGAAGAAGGCAAGGAACACTGGTTCTCGGAGAAAGGAATATGAGACGGGCTTCTCACAGAAGCACAGAAGCACATACTAGTCACTGGGTGCAGAGACTGTGAAGTGAGGGCCCCTGGGAACACTAATTCTGCTCTGTCAAAAAAGTATGGGGATCATCCTGGTGCCTTTACAAATGACAGCTTGCCCAGCCCAGTGTGGGGGCCAGTGTGTAACTCATGATCCTCGTCCCTTTCCCAAGCACCCTCTGGTTTATTTGTAACACTTTCTACACTTTTTTGTTTGTTTGTTTGTTTGTTTGTTTTGTTTTGTTTTGTTTTGAGACAGAGTTTCTCTGTGTAGTCCTGGCTGTCCTGGAACTCACCCTGTAAACCAGGCTGGCCTCGAACTCAGAAATCTGCCTGCCTCTGCCTCCCAAGTGATGAGATTAAAGGCGTGCGCCACCACTGCCCGGCAACTCTTTCTATCCTTTCAAGACTACACCAATGTGTCTTTTTGCTTTTGTCCCACATGACATCGGGAACCTTGAGGAATAAGTTGTTAGGCAGGAATGATTATGAGGTGAGCATCTCAAGTCATGCCAAGGCAGAGGGCCTGGCTCAGGTCCTCTTACTGCAGGGTGAGCCTCATACCGTGAGCTATCCTGCGCTCACTGCTGAAGTCTAACAGCAATAACAGGCCCTTATTACTTTCACTTTTTCCGTTCTAACTTTTTGCCTTGGCAAACTTCAATAGTTGACTTGCCCAGCATGGCAATCACTCATAGACCGCAGTGTTTACCTGCCCAACCTCTTAATGACCAAGTGCAAAATGGAGCTCGATCTCCTAAGACATTTTGGGGATTTAATGAGTTCATCTAGGTCACAAACACTAGGATTCCACCTGCCATTGAAGTGTAACATGGGGACCATGGGGAAAACAGTGACCCTATAACCAGAGAGTCTTCCCATGAACTATTTCCCATCCTGGTGACTCTGAGATGCCCCATGCTATGTGAATGCATTTGTGGTGACTACAGGAAAATGAGAAGGATAACGGGTGTCCTGTTGGCTCCTCTTGGGGTGCTGATTTGCTGCACACAGCCCCCCCCCACCCCGCTTTCACAGAGTAGACATGAAGCCTCTACGAGCAGCTTCTTACCTGGAACGCCATGGTGTTGGCCATGATGAGGAAGATCCGCAGGGGCAGCCGTGCTTTGTACGTTCTGTGGCTCCACAGGCGATGAGCTCCGGCTGTGATGCCCAAACCAGCAACCATGTTGTAGAATATTCCTGTCAGGAGACAGCGGGAGAGTTATCAACCATTGCTGGTCCTGTCGGGCCAAGGATGTGAGGACCCTTTGCTGACTCTCTAGTCTGCTGCTTCCTCAGAGGTTAGTGAGAATCCTTTCCCAGAACCCTGGGATGCCTTGGTCTTCATATCTTGTGGCTTTGAACACTTGAATAGTTGCCTTATGCACCTGTCTGTCTGCTTGCCTGTGTGTCTGTCTATGTATGTATGTATGTATGTATGTATGTATGTATGCATGTATGTATGTATTTATCTATCTATATCTATCTATATCTATCTATCTATCTATCTATCTATCTATCTATAGATGGAGGTAAGCTAAGAAGCCCCAGAAATCAAGACAGGCAACAGGGCCCTCACGATCTGTCTGCAGGGAACAGTACCCTGAGCCTATCGATCATGACCTTCCTCTGATCTAAGTTGTTCAGGGCCACAGATTACCCCTCAGTGCCTTGAAAAAATAGCCACCAGAGCAATTGGGTTCAATTAATTACAACAACTCCCAAATTTTAAGAGATCACAGGCCTGTGCCAATTCACCAGCTGGAACATTTTGATACGATGGCAGACACATGCCTATATCAGGGCCAGTCAGCCCTGCACAGAATTATGTCCTTACAGTGGCCTGAGCTTTACCAAGAATATTAATATTTTCATAATCACTGCACACCCTGGGTGGTAGGTGTTATTCTGTGGCATCTCAAAGAATTAGATCATAGAGAAATGTTTTCCCAGAATCATACTGTAGCCATGGGCAGCTCAGTCTCCTGTAAATAAGGAACTGGTCCAGCCCAACATCCACCCTCAAGATCTTTGCTAGATCCCAAACCTCTCCTTTGCCATGTCCCTCTGTCCGTCTAGGTGCTTACTGCCAGCACAATTCTGAGTAATGCTTGAAGCTGGCAGCTAGCGGTGCCTATATTGGGGCAAATCAACTCTGTTATATTTGTATCCTAGACTAATGAGGTAGGTTACCATGTCCTACCCCACTGTCTTCGAAGTCAGAGGCTTAGGAGGTTCAGTTGTTAATAGAGAAGGAAACAGACTACCCTTACTCTGTCCCCCAACTAAGGCTATGCCCACGAGGGCTTAGAGGAGACTTTCAACCATGCTTCACTCCTATTGGCAACTGGAAACCATGGTCCCTGGGAGGCCAGGGAGCATAGTTCAGTTTGAAGTCAAATACATTGTATAAACTCTCTTGTGTGAGACAGAAGTAACAATTTTTCAAACAGCATCTCCCCTCTCCTGCCCCATCCCATTTCTTCTTGGGCTTCTCACAAAGGCCACAGAGACAATGTGCAGGCAGGGAAAGGTCTGGCCACATTCTCTCTAAGCTGGGACCAGACCCAAGTGGTTTTCTGCTTCTGTATATATTTAAACTGGTCTCTTCCCACGTATATGATCTGACCCTGAACCACAGGGGAGCCAGGATTCTGCAGTCACAGGAGGGAATAAAGAGAGGCCCTCAGTGGAACACCCCAAAGTGTTAGTTTTATGCCACAAGTGTCTCTAGGATATTGACTTTGCCAACACTCGAAGTATGCAAAAGGGGACTAAGACAAGAACCCAAACATTGTGTAGCCTCTTTCTCAACCTTGTGACTGTCAAATAGACAACTCAGTTCAAATAGATGGCTCAGTTCAAATAGGTTAGTTCCATGACCTCCAGGCAAGGTCTGTTTGTGTTTATAGTGGTTATTAGGCAACATCTTTTAGCATTGTTCTAAGAAGAGGGCTGGAAGGTTTTCCCCTTTTAGCACCCCATGTCAATAGCCCTGCAGGGCAGGAGGCTCCCAGAGTAGCCAGGTTAGCAGAAGTACTGGGAAAACACACAGCTAGCCTAAAGAACATGACATGACCTTTCTAATCACAAAGCACTCTTGTCCCCATTTGGTACCTGGAAATATTGTAGTCCTGAAAAAGAGGTTCTCCTCAGTTGTATTTCCCTGGCACCTACAGAACTTTTAAGGTGATGCTCCAGGACCAGAGCTCAGCTGCTGCAGGTACTAAGAACTGGAGGGCAGGGGTAGCCAACACAGGCAGCCAACTTCTACATCGCCACCTTCCTAGAGGCAACTACCAGAAAAGTCTTCTGTCTTCCAGAGTGGGACCCCGGCTCACCATTCTTCAGAAGGTAGCAAGGAGCTCTGGCCTGCAGAGTCCCCTCCTCTCTTCTTGAGTTAAGAATCGGGAGTGAGAGGCGAATCTACCTGAAAGCACATGTGTGGGTCCAGGATCCAGCCCTGCATCTGCCTACACCCACAGATCCCCAAGGAGCTGAGCTACCAGATAAGAGACACAATGTCAACCTTCTTCCTTGTTACAACAGCCTGAAGACCAGGGTTTCTCAGTCTCTGGACCTGGCTATTTTGCGCTAGGTGAGATGGGGGTGGGTAGGAAACAGCAGAACTAGTGTTAAAAGGTTCTGGACCCTTTGTCCTACGTGGTCTCCAGAGACAGGAGCAGGAACTGGCTGATCAGGGAATGAATGGAATGTCACCCCATTCTGAACCCTCTTTTTTCACTTTAAGAACATCTTGCTGACTGACAGAACTGACCTGGAGCAGCAGAGCCATACACTTGTGTACTCAGATTGTATAGGGAGCCTGCCTCATCTTTCTCTGGGGCAAACAAACCTATCCTAGCCAGAATCGTGTACAGACATTTTTTGTGGGTAATCCTCTTCTCTGCCTTCCTCTTCGGTGACCCCCTTCTGAAAAGTCTCACTTTACTCTGTCTCCTGTCTAAGCAAATCGCCCCTGGGGCCCTCAGCCAGCTCCCATGTCTCCCAGTGAGGGTTCTAATTTTCTTGTGGCAGACAATGCTGTGTCAGGAAGCTTTCTGGACAGAAGAGCTCCTTCAGAGACTGTCAGTCATTTGCCATAGATTTTAACATCCAGGTTAAAGGGCCCCAAGAACTGATACTCTTGCACCCCAATCCCACGAGGCTCTGCCCCCGGTCTAGTTATCAGGATCTCAAGAAGTAGAGAGAAGATTCGAAAAAAATCTAGACAGAGAGCGGCTACCTTTCAGAATCGCAGTCTACCTTATTAAAGAATTGGGGAGAAACCTGGAGTGCTGGCCCAGGATGGAGAGGTTGGGGGATTACCCAAGAGGCAGGTGTAGACCTTGCAGGAGGGAACCAGTGTGATCCCGTACAGGGCTCCCATGTGCAGCAGGGCCATGAAGATGATGTTCCTCCAGACGTACTCCAGCTTGGGCGGGGGCCCCTCCTCATCCTGGTAGGTGGGATCATATAGATCATCTTTTATTTCAGGACGTATGCCTTCTGCCTGGAGGGGCATCTTCTCTTTTCCATCCTGCTGTCTCCAGGAATGAGGTTCCATGATGGTGGTAGCACCACACTTACTGGAGATTTTCAATGAGAGGAGTGGAAATCAAGAGCAAGTACCCCAGGGTAGCACGGGGGTATTTCTCCTGTAATACAGCCAAGGCAGTAGAGTCAGAGATCCCAGTGCCCGATCGTATGAGGACAGAGTACAGATGTACTAGATGGAGCAAAGAAAACTTCCCAGAAACCACCTATAATGTGTTGACGATAAAACCTCACGATGAAGGGGCAGGAGGGGGAGTAAAACATTTGTACCTCAACCAGCATACAAGGGAAAATGTGCATGCATGCAGACAGGTACTGGCTGGATGGGGTGTTGAGGTTGGGGGGGTTCCTTTCCTTTAAAGTCAACTGGCAAAATAAATGCATATCCCTTGCTTGAAGGTCATACAAATCCAAAAAGATATCCAAGATGTCTCTGTAGCCCTCAGTTCTGGCCTCCCCCAAGTCAGCACAGTCCCACCTGGTACCAAACACCCTGTGCTGTGGGCTGTCAGTGATGAAAAGCTGACCTCTTGTGGCCTGGATCCTATTGTGAAGGCAGAGAGTGCAAGGTCCAGGTCTGTAGCGACAGAAGACAGATAGTTGAGTTCAGAGCCCACTGTGCACTGTGCGTACTGCGTACCTGGCTAACTGTACAGGCGTCTCCACTCAGTCCTGCAGTGTGTGGTTCTTTCCCAGCTGATTTAAAGGGTATGTAGAGCTGGCACTTGGTGACTGTGCCTAGTATTTGCTCAGATGTGCTTCATGACTGCCAACAAGGGATAAAGTGTTCAGACCTGGCTAGTCAAGGCAGCCCCATGAGGAGAGGAAGGCTGAAGGCGAGAGAGGGGAGGAGACAGCCAGCAAAGCCCACACTTACCTCAGGCAAGGCTATGTGATACTGCACACGCTAAGAGAGAGCCACCTTTGTCCCCATTCCTAAAGAGATGGAGTATTCCAGCACTCTGGCAAGCTTTGAACAGGGGGATTTGTTACTCTTTTGTCTTCCTGGCTCGGGCACCCAGAAATCTGCTTCTCTCTGGCAGATAGCCCTTTGCACCAATATCCTCGGTTTTATCTCTATGGACTCTGGGTCCCAGACAGCATCTTGGCTGGAGGAAGCTGAAGGTCCAGTTCTCAAGCTTCATAGAGGATAAAAAATGTTCTCAAAATGGAAGAAGACTGTGTTTGGGGGTGAAGAGTCAAGTCCAAGCCCAGGACTAGCACAGGTGCTTGGCAAATGTGTCACACTGGGGCAGGTGCACAGCGGGGACACACCTCATCGCTCTCCATCACAAGTCCACCTCTCTTTCCACTCACCAGGTGTGATGGGGGAAGGGGGGCTGGCCTCCGCCCCCAGATCTCGAGAAAAGAGCAGGTGCATTGCCCACCTTCTTACATAGCATCCCAGGCCATTGGTGACTTTTCGCCACCCACCTGCCTGGGATGTTCAGCAGAATCCCAGAATGCTCTGACCAGCTCACACACATAGTCACGCACACAGGGCTGAATGTCTGAGCCCACGCTCAGTCACAGGACATGTTTCACAGGGGACAACCACCCCCAGACATTAACATCTAATTCCTTCCCTGTGTTCCTGCCTCCGGAACATCTGCTGCGGCAGGGAGGTCTGAAGATTCTTCCATCAGGTTGGGATTTGGGAGTCTTCTATGAGGAAGAAGCAGGAATCTCGGAGAGGTGTTTACAGATATCGGAGGTGCAAACATTCGAGTGTGAAATAAGAAGAGTGAGCGTGTATTGAGTGGTTTTTTTTTTAACAAGCTAACGCAAAAGCTTTTTTAAAAGTCTGCCAGTGACCCATGACCTGTGACTTTTAAGGAGGAGGAAGTTGAGATATAGAGAGATCAGATAATTTGCCTGTGGTCCCAGGAGCCAGTGACTCACGGAATTAGAAACTGGTCACAGTAGGTATGATGCCAGGGCCCAAGCTCTTACACCCTGCTCAGAAACAAAGCTAGCCTAGAATCCAAGACAAAATGACTCCACCACCCATCCTCATTAACTCCATGACACAGCAAGGAAGCTCAAACTGCAGGGATTTGCATTCGCTAGGTCTCCTGAGACAGGCATCCCCCAGCACCAAAGGATGAGGGCAAGCAAGGCCGACTTCTCCCTCTGTGAAAGCGGTTCTTGGTCCCTCCATCCTCTCCTCCTCTCATCAAATGGTGATGGACCCCACTGTCCTTCTGGCTCCCGCATATACTTCGCTTTGTTCACAATTTTATTTTGACAGCTATATTGAGAATTGCTTGAACTGGGCATGGTGGTGTACATTTTTTATCCCAGCACTTGGGAGGCAGAGGCAGGTGGATCTCTATGAGTTTGAGCCCAGCCTGGTCTACAGAACAAGTTCTGGGACAGCCAGGGCTGCAGACAGAAGCCTTGTCTGAAAACAAAACAAACCAAAAAGGTGGTAAACCATAAGCCTTCTTCACGGCAGGAACCCTGCCTGACCTTTCCTTGGTTTCTGTAGCGCATTATGGAATTTCTTACAGACATTAATTATTTATTCAGTGATCACTTCCCAGAGAAGAGAGATGAGTTACGGGATATGATGAGGACCAGTGGGACTCATATTTTGCTTGAAATGTGATTCGTAAATGAGAGCTAGAGGAACCTACTACAGTATTGTAAAAGTGGGTGTGGCATTATCTATGGCTGCTGAGGAAGCAGAGAAGTGGAAACTTGAACAGAGGCTTACGAGCCTGGAAGTTGCCTGACTGTTCTGAAGAACAATCTATCAGCACCCAATAAAATCGAGTATGTGCATACTCTGTCATCCAGAAATTTCCACTCCTGAGAAACTATTTTTTTTCCAGTAACTTTTATTAGGGCAAATTTTTGTGTCTTTTGTTTGTATGTACTTATGGCTATATGGGGAATCAAACTCATAACCTTGTACATACCAGGCAAGTGCTCTACCTCTGAGCTACATTCCCCAGCCCTTGGTTTTTTGAGAGGCTTCACTATGTAGCTCAGGCCGGCTTGGAACATTGACTCCCTCTGCCTCAACTAGAGCAGCTGGGGATTTCATGGGTTTTGTTTTAAGGAAAGAGCAGTCTGACACTCCAACACACGGTTGGAGATAGGTGATCAGTAACTAGGTCAGACAATTCAGTCTCACGTGTCATCAGGCCTGTGTGAATGAATGCTGTAATCCCAGCAGTCAGGAGGTTGAAGGAGGATCATCAGCTTGAGGACATCCTGGGCATTAGACATCCTCTATTTCAAAAGCAAAAATCAAGATTCTCCTCAGCACTTGGTAGACAGAGGCAGTTAAATTTCTATGACTTTGAGGCTAGCCTGGTCTACTCAGTGAGTTCCCAGCCAGCCAGAGCTATGTACTGAGAATCTATTTCAAAACAACAAATAAAACCCCTACTCATCATATTTACATGAAGGTCTAAACTAAAACTTCTCCCATACCCAGGGATGTTCTCAGCTGAGGAAACAGAACACTTGAACCTAGAGTCTGCATGTGTACATTTTGAAAGATTGCTACAGTTAACATACTTCCTTTTCAAGAACACAAATAAAATGAGCCGGGGTCTATAAAAAGGGCAGGACCTCCAACCTGGGTTTGACCCAGCCTTGTAGGGTGGAGATGCCATCTTGGGAACACAGGATGTTTGTGAGAATCTGTGAGCTACTCAAGTATACAAAGGGCGGGTCAAGGGCATCTGATCTGAACTGAAATTCCTTTGGCTCATTTTATACACATATTTTCAGGTTCTTTTTTAACTGACACATGGAAGTCAGACAACCGTGGAGTGCAGAAACAGCCTGCAACTGAGACGTGTAGACTGAGCTATTGCTCATCAAAGTGTGAAAAGCCGACTAGGGGCTGTGCACACAGCTCAGTGGGCGAACACGAGAGTCTGAGTCCAGACCTCCAGCACCTGTATAGACAACAAGGAGTGACACAGAATGCCTCTGCTCCCAGGCCACAAAAGCCTGGGAATGAGAGAGAGAGAGAGAGAGAGAGAGAGAGAGAGAGAGAGAGAGAGAGAGAGAGACAGATAGATCCTGAGGGGTGTGGCCTGCCAGCCAGGAGAGCCAATCTGTGAGCATCAGGCTCAATAAAAGACTGTCTCAAAACAAAGGTAAAGGGCAATAAAGGAAGGGCATCTGATATTGACATCTGGCTTCAACACACATGTGTATTGTATCTGCATAGAGTGCACACACACTCACACACACACACACACGCACACACACACACACCTTTTCACTTCACTTTGTCTGCCTCCCTGGGGATAAAAAGCAATGGCACTTTCAACTACAGTCTTTTATCATAGTATTAACCCTCCACTTATGAAATCTACAATAACTCCTCCTTTTCCTCATTAGCTGTGCTACTGGCTCTGATTGAAAGGAAGCCTATGACATAAACAAGAAAACAGAAGGACAAAATTAAAACGATGCTGGTAGGCCAGACGAGCTCACACATTCACTGCACTGTATCAGACAGTGGAGAGTGTGGTCTTATTTTAGTTATGTTTAAAAGAAACACTGAACTCACGCCCTCAAGCACCCTTGTTGGAAAGCACCCTTTACCCACTGTACTGTCTCTCTAGTCCTATTTCACTTTTTTTTTCTTTCTTTGTTTTTTTGACACAGGGTTTCTCTTTGTTGTCCAGGCTGCCCTGGAACTTGCTCTGTAGATCAGGCTGGCCTCAAACTCACAAAGATTCACTTGCTTCTGCTTCCCCAGTGCTGGGATTAAAGGTGTGCACCACCACTGCCTGGCTCATTTCACTTTCTTGATAGTCTCTTTGAAAGCATAAATGCTTTAAGTTTTAATGAGGCACTAATCATTCAATTTTTCTTTCCCTACTCACACCCTACCTATGACTTTGACACACACAATTCTTTACTCTGTGATCTGACATTAGTATCTTATTTTCAGGTAAACAAAGCAAAAATGGACATTTAAATTTTGATTATGTTAAAGTTGTATTTATTCTTAGTTTATGAGTGTGAGTGTTTCCTTACATGTATGTCTATGCACTACATGTGTGTGCAGTG